AAAAGGTTTATAACCAAAGTAAAGATATACCAAATTGGTTCAGTAATTGGTGGATCTCATATGGCCCAAGTATAGATATTCTCCCTGAGGAACCATTTAGAAAATTATATGGGGAATGGTTACCCGTCTCTCCTAGATACCAAAACCAAGCCGTTCCTTTGAAGTCAGAAGGGTTGGAAGCAATATCTTCCATGCATTTTTTCATGGAATTTTCTATTCCGTGGATTTGGAAATGGTCCCCACATGTGGATTATACTCCCTCCAAATTTCCTTCTCTACAAAGGTCATATTTTACCAAATTAAGAAATACCAAGACCAGAAAAAATTCTCGGAAATAGCCTCCTCGACAGAAGCAGCCCCCTCAACTTCTCAAAAGGTCAATCTAACTAAAGAAGAAATAATCAAGTCATTCAGGTTATACTGTTCTGAATTAAAAGAAAACCTTCAAAGGTTTACAAAACATGAAAATGCAAAAGATGAAGGTTCAAGTGAAGATATTTCAGATAATATGTCAGTTGATAACCACAGCCAAACACAGTTTTTAGCAGGAGAATCCCAGCCAGATGATGAAGGATTTCCAGAAGAAGACCTCCCCATTGATTGCATGATTGACATGATTGAGGAATCAATCACTCAAAGAAAGAATCTTTGCAAGACAAAAAGGACAGCACCACAATAGACTCAAGGTGACAGGTGGATGGACCAAAATAAAAGAGGATGATATTCTTCAAAAATTATTGAAGACAAAGAATAATATTCGTCAGATATTATTAAAGCAAGGGAATCAAACAAAGAGTCATTTCTACTTTTCTAAAAGCTGTTTGCCAATGCTAAATGTAATAATTTAGGTTTTGTTTGTTTTTTTGTGGCCTCCTAATCTATTTAAGTAGCCTCTCTCTTATGTTTGAGACAGGCCTGGAGCCATTTCTATATTTCTCTCTTGTAATCTACTCTTGTAAAAAATCCTTCTGCAATAAATAGTTTTAAATAAATTTGGAGTATCAAAGTTTTACTACAAGACAATCTTGGATTCACCTTTCTGGTTAGTCTACTTCCTTATACTTTATTTTATTTGTAAGCCTAATGCAAGGCTAATTCATTAATATCACATAGTTCCTAATTCATAAATGAATTTAGGTTTGATACTAGGAATAGTCCATTTATTAAGAAGGTCTAAATTTTTTGGTATTTCATATTCTTCTATTAACTGGTTCTTAATCAATTGTTTATTACTGTTTTTAAATCTATTGAATATACTCATAAAAAAATCGAATTAATATCACATAGTATTTCATGGCTCTGATACCATGTTTCATGCAGGACCATAACGATATCGTTATGGTCCTGAAACATGGTCCAAAAAAAAAAAAAAAAGTCTGGAGAAAAAGGCAAAGTCGTGTTTTAGCCCTGCTTTTATAACCACGGTGTTGTTTTAGGGCGTTTTACTCATTGACTCGCCTAGCCCGTCTGACTCTTCTAAATATTTTAAAATTTTCTTATTTTATTTTGTTTGGTCTAAAAATTTTACTCATATCGTTATGGTCCTGAAACATGGTCCGAAATAAAATACTCATATCGTTATGGTCCTGAAACATGGTTTGAAACATGGTCTAAAAATTTTACTCATATTGTTGGAGCATACTATTAATATGATTTATATCTACAGTAGGAGTCTTATCTTCAAAAAGTTTTTGATAAGCTGAAAATTTTATGGTAACGTTGTTATTTGTAATTGTAAAAGGGATTTGAGGTGGAAATATGCTTGTTATTATCTTATCTCCTGATAGAGTATAATCTCTTTCTATGTTGTGAATATCATGTAGAAAAGTATAAGTAAACCAAGGAATAAAATGTATAATATGATTTATACAGGATAAATGTTCATAAAATGTATTTTGTATCTCTTGTAACTCCTCTTTAAAATAATTTTTAAATAACCAATCTTTAAAAAATGTCCATTTAGTTGAATAAAATTCTTCTGAAATAATTTTTCTTGCCTGAGAACCAGGGCTAAAATCTATTTTTTCGTCTAAATCCATTAAACTGTAAAATTCATTTCAGAAGGAGTAGATGCCTCCGCCTCATACACAATATCATCATGTATATTTAGATTATTTATTTTTCTGATATCAACAGAAGCATGAGTAGAGGGGACTTCTACATTATAATCTAATGGTGATATGTATGAATGTGAAGATCTTGCCGATCTTGTTCGTTTTATTAGGTTGTGTTCATATTCTATTTCCTTGTTAAATTCTATAGTAAAGGCCCCATCAGAAGTTTGTATAATACTTTCTATATTATTATTTATTAAAGGCGTGGGTGGTATATTATCTTCTAAAATCCAGTGTTGGGGAAATTTTATTTCATCCCATTTTATGGCTTTTCTAGTTGTAATTTTTGACATATCGAAATTACTTTCTATTAAAATTGTTTCATTTATAGGTTTATTTACTTTCTTACATTTAGGATTCATCGTTTTTAATGGTTTAAACTATATACAATAATATATACATATTACTTCCGATCCTGGTAAATAATTATAACCATGAGTTTTGACATTTAATGTTAATGCTTGAAAAATATTCTTATCAGACAAAGAAAGTTGTAAATTTGGGTAAACATTAAAATATACCGGTCCATGAGACAAACTAGATTCTATTATACCCATTAAAGATTGTTTCCAATTTTTATTTCTAGCGTCCCTAAGAACTGCTAAAAAACTTTCAGGTAATTCTTGTAATGTTAATGGTTTAAAAGCAATTTACACTAAACCAATATGCAAGTAATTATAAATATGTTTGTATTTATTAATATCTTGTGGAGTTATTAACTGAACTGTCATGTCATCTTCATTCATAGTTAAATTCTCTTCTGTAGTTTTAACAGTTTGGATAAAACCTAATTCTTCAAAAGTTCCTAATTCATAAATGAATTTAGGTTTGATACTAGGAATAGTCCATTTATTAAGAAGGTCTAAATTTTTTGGTATTTCATATTCTTCTATTAACTGGTTCTTAATCAATTGTTTATTACTGTTTTTAAATCTATTGAATATACTCATAAAAAATCGAATTAATATCACATAGTATTTCATGGCTCTGATACCATGTTTCATGCAGGACCATAACGATATCGTTATGGTCCTGAAACATGGTCCAAAAAAAAAAAAAAAAGTCTGGAGAAAAAGGCAAAGTCGTGTTTTAGCCCTGCTTTTATAACCACGGTGTTGTTTAGGGCGTTTTACTCATTGACTCGCCTAGCCCGCCTGACTCTTCTAAATATTTTAAAATTTTCTTATTTTATTTTGTTTGGTCTAAAAGTTTTACTCATATCGTTATGGTCCTAAAACATGGTTCGAAATAAAATACTCATATCGTATTGGTCCTGAAACATGGTCTAAAAATTTTACTCATATTGTTGGATCATACTATTAATATGATTTATATCTACAGTAGGAGTCTTTTCTTCAAAAAGTTTTTGATAAGCTGAAAATTTTATGGTAACGTTGTTATTTGTAATTGTAAAAGGGATTTGAGGTGGAAATATGCTTGTTATTATCTTTTCTCCTGATAGAGTATAATCTCTTTCTGTGTTGTGAATATCATGTAGAAAAGTATAAGTAAACCAAGGAATAAAATGTATAATCTGATTTATAGAGGATAAATGTTCATAAAATGTATTTTGTATCTCTTGTAACTCCTCTTTAGAATAATTTTTAAATAACCAATCTTTAAAAAATGTCCATTTAGTTGAATAAAATTCTTCTGAAATAATTTTTCTTGCCTGAGAACCAGGGCTAAAATCTATTTTTTCGTCTAAATCCATTAAACTGTAAAATTCATTTCAGAAGGAGTAGATGCCTCCGCCTCATACACAATATCATCATGTATATTTAGATTATTTATTTTTCTGATATCAACAAACGCACGAGTAGAGGGGACTTCTACATTATAATCTAATGGTGATATGTATGAATGTGAAGATCTTGCCGATCTTGTTCGTTTTATTAGGTTGTGTTCATATTCTATTTCCTTGTTAAATTCTATAGTAACGGCCCCATCAGAAGTTTGTATAATACTTTCTATATTATTATTTATTAAAGGCGTGGGTGGTATATTATCTTCTAAAATCCAGTGTTGGGGAAATTTTATTTCATCCCATTTTATGGCTTTTCTAGTTGTAATTTTTGACATATCGAAATTACTTTCTATTAAAATTGTTTCATTTATAGGTTTATTTACTTTCTTACATTTAGGATTCATCGTTTTTAATGGTTTAAAATATATACGATAACATATACATATTACTTCCGATCCTGGTAAATAATTATAACCATGAGTTTTGACATTTAATGTTAATGCTTGAAAAATATTCTTATCAGACAAAGAAAGTTGTAAATTTGGGTAAACATTAAAATATACCGGTCCATGAGACAAACTAGATTCTATTATACCCATTAAAGATTGTTTCCAATTTTTATTTCTAGCGTCCCTAAGAACTGCTAAAAAACTTTCAGGTAATCCTTGTAATGTTAATGGTTTAAAAGCAATTTGCACTAAACCAATATGCAAGTAATTATAAATATGTTTGTATTTATTAATATCTTGTGGAGTTATTAACTGAACTGTCATGTCATCTTCATTCATAGTTAAATTCTCTTCTGTAGTTTTAACAGTTTGGATAAAACCTAATTCTTCAAATGTTCCTAATTCATAAATAATAATAATAATAATAATAATAATAATAATAATAATAATAATAATAATAATAATAATAATAATAATAATAATAATAATAATGTTTGTTGGTTATCCTAAATTTGATTTGCAGTAGCAGCAACGAGAGGTAAGTGTTGTTATGTTCAAGAATTATGAGTGAAGTTTGTGGGTTGAACCAACAGATATACACATACATGTATCCAGATGAGTTAAGTATAAGATTTTTTTTGAGTCTCCAAGTGTTCAACACACACTCTTCATTTGGTGAAGCTTATAGGAATGATGGTGCTCGAGTTCGATCAACCCATTCAAAGTCTCCCTACATTTGGCGAAGCTTATGGGAATAATGGTGGTGGTGGTTCATATGATGATTTGCGAAGGGCAGGGGCAGTGGTGCCAAAGAAAAAAGGATGGTCGGATGCAACCAAACAAGCCATTACCAGTCAACAGTCTACTTAATGAGTCAATGCAATCTCATTCTTTAAAATTACCTCTAACATTGTCATGCCAGGTTCATGGGCTTCTGTTAAATGTTTTTTATATTAAGTAAAGTGTCCACTTTTAATGTTTTTGCACAAAATTACAGGAATACCCTCCTGGAGTAAAATGGACATACCCATGAACAGGGTATTTAATTTGTTCATGTAAAAATTAATCAGCCTTTGCTTACTAGCTAACAAATAATAGAAAAATATAGCATGTTTTACTCAAATATTGTTTAGAAATTATTTATAATTATAATAATATTAAAAAATATAGAAATTATTTGTTGTCTTTTTACATAATTAAAAAGTATATATAACTTAGCTAATCTCAGGTTATATTTTAGACCTCTTACTTCCAGGGCATAGGCTGTGTCAACCTCCGGGCTCCCCTCAATATACTGCTCCCATCATTTTCTCATTGCCAATTAATTGTTGTGTCCAAGTAAGTTTTTTTCTACTATTATATATGTTTTTAACTGCTATTATACTTTTGTTCGTTGTTTTTAGTGGGTGGTTTCCTGGGTCTCTTTGATGGAGTTTCTCAGGATGAAATTGAGATATGGGCTCTTAGGGATTTGAAGATGATGAAGTAGGGTGAAGTTGCAATCGATAACTGACAGTGGTAGATACTTGGTGAAAAGGAACAGAAATTGGCAAATGAATGGGCTTTTGAAGGTGAAAGGATCATTCATGGAAATCCATTTGGGATAGAAAATATAGTTAGCACTATGGGTATGTTACTTATGTTTGAGTTTATTATATTTGTGTTTATTATACATTTCTTTTGTTTTTTCCTGATTATATATCTACAAATTATGGTATAGGAAACTTGATAAAGTTAGAATCTGGTGCTTAATTTAACCTCCATCAAATCCGATATGCCACTGATAATGCCAAAGATAGACACAAGAGTTGGTAGAAACACAAAGGCATTAATCACGAGTGTTGCAGAAAGAAGAGACAGACATCCAGACACAATGACATATGTTGATTACATCAGTATTGAACTCGCATCCACAATCCAGTTTTCCTGATTATATATCTACAAATGATGGGCAAATCACATCTCTCGCAATGATTCAATAATTGTTGGTGTTTGCCAAGTGAGTTTACTTAAAAAAAAAATGTATAATGACAATGCTTAAGTATTTATTTTTATATTTTGACAGGGGCAATACAAGTTGACTTTGATTTGTCCTACATGTGAGAAGATATTACACCCAAATTCAATCAGAATTTACTTATACGTTTGATCCATCATGTATCTGTCATTACCAATTCAATCAGAATCAAAATTGAGTATTTATAGCTGCATAGAAGTTAGGAATCACATTAGTTAATACTAGTTGATGAATGTTTTTCAATGGTTTATATAAATATAATGTTATGCTTATCTATTGCTTGTTGTATTTATGCATTGACTTGCACTTTGCAGCCAAGAATCTTATTCTTGCATAACTCAAGTTTGTGACATTCAATCATGTACATTATCACGCTCAATCTTATCTCATCTGGGCTCATACATGTAAGCTTTTAATTAATCCGTCTACATTTGTAGATTTCTATTTCTATATTTTGTTTCGTTTTACTCACCTAATTTATACCTTATTACATCACCTGCTCACACCTGGCACTCGAATCCATACAGGGCAAGCTCACTAAAGGTAAGTTCACATTCTTTATAAATCAAAGTTTTCTCTTATTTTAATGCACAATTAGATTTCAAGAAACATGTGAACATGTGGTATCATCTATAGATTTGAATATTATTCCAATTTATTAAAATTATAAATCCTATAATTAGATCCCTCAAAGTTGTTGGACAAATGTTAGCTCCCTCAAAGTTAAGGGACATGTTTTGCATTATTTGATAAAAAAAATATATAATTTGAAAGATTAAAATTATAAATCCTATAATTAGATCCCTTTAGATTCTCATGTTGCTGTGCGTCTTCATCGGGTAATGATGCAGTTTCATATATTTCATAGAAAGTATTGCTTGTTTTTTTTAATGAATTGATTGATGTAGTGGGTTCATCAGAGGGCTTGGAGAGGACCTGAAGCCTCTAACATTTTCATTCCATGACAAGTACAAACATGGCCCCTGTTATTAGTTGTAAATATTGATTTGATTATATATATGATGGGATCTGAAACCAATTTAAAATACATATATGCATTCATAGGTGGAAATCAAAGAAGAAGATTATCAGAGGACAAAAAGGTCAATTTCAATTGCGAGGCACCAATGCTGGCCTTGCATTGGCTATAATAACTGTAAGTCCATGATTTTTTTTCTTTTTCTTCCATTAATGAATGCTTAATGATAATATTTTGTTTGAACAGGTGGGAATCTATTTGCCTTGCTATGATATCTTCCGGAATTGGTTTGAAGAGTTTGCAACTGAAAATGCTCCAAGCATGACACCGTATGCCCCTTTGCTGGTTGGATCATTGTCACGCTCAGTTTAGGATGAGATGATTGCAGGATGAGATGAAAAGGTCTATATATTACAATACCCTTTATATGTATATCATGAAAATATTAAAAATGAAGGGCAAAACAGTCATTTTACGTCTGCGTTACTTTTTTTGTAGGGCTCTGGTCTGAAATATGTAGACAGCGAAGGCGGACGTCTCAAGGGAACTAATATTTTTTTTTTAATTTAATATTTTTTTTCTTAATTTAATATGTAGACAGTGAAGGCAGACGTCTCAAGGGACTAACAAACCATCTACTGAGTCGACACAGGCATGTTTTCAAAATTCGAATAATATTTTTCTTTTTTCTTTTTTCTTAATTTAATATTTTTATGTTTGTGACAACAACTTTTATCTTCTGTACCCACCCGTGGAAGACACTCCTGTGGACTTGTCGCTTGCTCCAGAAGCCCCTTCAAAATCGTCGATGGTCCCGCTAGCTCCGCTGTCGGAAATCCAGGTATTTCTCACTTCATATTGATACTGAAGTGAATTTACAACCCCTGTAAAAGCAAAACTATTTATGCTATGATCATAATTGATCGGAGTCTTTTTAATGATGGATTGATAATAATCTTTCTAATTCAGTCACAGTTGCATTGGATAAACAAGAATTTAAGTGTTTTTCTAGCTATGTTAGCTGATTACGTTGTGTGTAGATGTTAATTAGGTTTTATGATCGAATTTTGCATTTTGAGTTTTAAAGTTAACTGCTTACGATAAATACCTTGTGAAACTACTGTAAAAACGAACCAGTACTAAACAAATTGGAGATTTGTTTTTTATAATCTAAAATCACATAAAAGAATTGCAAAACACATCTGATCACCTGCACATATTGAGTGTAAAGATGAAGGATTATGACTTTAGTTGTGCTTGTTCAAATGCTTTCAGATGAAATTGAAAAACTTTTCCGATCTCTATTTGGGCAACTATCAGCAATATTGGTGCCAGGTGAATCTAATGAATCAGGATCTGCCTTGAAGATAGGAGTTGTGTTGTCAGGAGGACAAGCACCAGGAGGGCATAATGTTATATATCTGGGATGTTTGGTTAGGATTTTGAACTTCCATTTCCTATTTTTCATATTTTTCATACTTCATATGATAGATTGAAGGATTCACTAGTAAACATCAGCAATATGTGTGCCAGGTGAATCTAATTAGTAAAGAAAGTTGAAGGATTGACTAGTAAACATAAAAGTAGAATGAAAATGACAAGTGATTTTGTGTTGTGTTTACAGGGTTGATGAAAGCGAATAGCTCTCGAGTTAGAAGCGGAAAAGAAAGCTCAAGCCGAAAGAGATAAGATGCTGAAAATGCAAGTGTTGTATTCTAAATTTCAATTGTTAGTATGAAACATAGAGTAGATTAGATGAATGCAAATTTATATATTGTAAGAAATAGAATTGTATGACATTAAAGTTTATGCAATGGATTGTATTTTTTTATATATGGTATTTTATTTCTATTATGACACATTAAACGCAAATTTAATTTAAAAATTAATAAATATACAAATATATATATTTTTAAATATCTAAATTTACGATACGCAAAAATGTGTGTCATTTACATTTATGACATGGCCTTTCTTGGCAGGGGCTTTCTTGATACGCATTGCGTGTCATTAACACGTGCGTCGTAAGGTTACGACACGCAAATACGTGTCGTCTTCCTTTATGACAGGGCCTTCCTTGATACGCATTGCGTGTCGTAAACATGCGTCGTAACTAGGCGTCATAAATGAGCGTTGTAAATGCACGTCGTCTCTCTTTATGACAGGGCCTTCCTTGACGCGCATTTGCGCGTCGTCTGAGCCTTTTACGACGCGCAATGAGCGTCGTAAAAGGCTGTTTTTCTAGTAGTGTGAAGACATCCATAGATGTACATTTACCTCTGTTGCTAACAGCTGGGTATAGGAATAGTCAGTCCCCAAAAGTATACCTGTAATGGTATCAACCGTTGACATCCATGGATATGCTTTTACCTCTGTAGCTAACAGAGATTCTAGGAATGGTCAGTCCCGCAATGTATCCTTGGGTACTGTCACACCCCCAAACCAGAATGGCGGAAACATTCGGGGGTGGATGACTTCACGTAGTATCACAACGATTGAATATTGCAAAGAAAGTAACACAACCATCATATATATAACAATGAAAACGTGTATTGTTGCGTTATACATGTTATCAAAAGAATATTACAATATGATGAATAAATGTTTAATGATAAAATCATCCTTTGTGTTCCTTCTTCCAAAAGCTAGTAGTTTACCTGTATCACTGATTCCCTGAGAAATACAAGTGGTTTTGAAAAGTGTCAACATTTAAGTTGGTGAGTTCATGAGTGTTCCGAGTTGAAAAGTATATTCCTTTTGGTAGTAATTTGGTAAACGAGATCTTTAGAAAATCCAATATTTTCTTGTAAAATGTAAAAGGTTCCAAAGTTGGAATGTGTTAGTAACTTTTATAAACAATTGATAACAACAATTTAGTATGAAAATATAATGTAGAAATACTGCGATGCACATATGAACCTTGTAAATCAATCTTGTTTTATACTTTTTATGTGAGTTTTATAACCATACTATTGACACTGACGGCCTGTAACAACATTCTTCAAGTGTTGCAGTGTTATGACATTTGTCACCTCAGACCTGCCGGTCTAACTATAGCTAGTAGTTTAGGTGCGGGATTGTCAATCCCGTATAGATCTATACACAAGTATCACGCTCTCCCTCCAAGAGATTATGGTATATAATACAGGACTTGAAATGCGTACAAAAATGTACGTTGAAGTTTAAATGTCTCACATTTACCTAGTATAAATAGATTTACAATGAAATGACTTTACTCCTTTTTGAAAGTGTTTCGTTTTTCAAATTGTATAAAAATGTAGGATTGACTTGCTAACTATACCCATTATAGTTCTTCAGATAGTATGTTCCATTTCGTAGACATAACTTAGTGATATAATTGCCCTTGTATACATAAGATGTTTGTATCGATATTCGAAGTTAGAAATTGCATTTATGTTTAGAAAACGATACTTTTAACGTGTAATGTACTTGTATTTCCCCCCTAAAACATGTAAAAGGATTTAAAAGTAGGGGTATGAACTCACTCGTTAAGTTTGAAGAGAGGGGCTAGAGTTGAGCAGAGTTTCGATCTCGGATAGTTGCGTCGTCGGGCTCTTCGGGAACTTCTGCAACGTAAATCTTTCGTCGGGGCTCGAGTGCGGAAACCGAGGTGAGAAAAGGGTCTCTGGAGCTGGGAGAATGTCTGAGAAATGGTGAAGGTGTGCCAAAACTCGAGCCTTATGCCCTCTATTTATAGGGCTGAAAACCCCCGTACGCGGCGCGTACTGCCGGAGTACGCGGGGCGTAGTCAGTACGCGGGGCGTACTTCGGTTACGCGGGGCGTAATAAGGCGTCATGGCTTACGACTCCTGGCTAGCTAGGCGTAGCTTGGGCGGGCCGATGGGACTCGACCCTGGGTCTAGTACGCGGGGCGTACTCCCAGATTACGCGGGGCGTAATCCCTGCTTCCAACTTCTAAATTCCGTAACTTTCGCGTACGAGCTCCGTTTTTCGCGTCTTTATATCCACGCGTAGGTGAGATTATGCTCTACAACTTTCATTTAGACTCCGTCGGCTAGTTTTGACTTTATTTTTAATGATATAATTTTAATAGGCCGGGACTCCTAAAGTTCGTTAAAATTTCATAGGTTCTTTATTCGACGTCGGTTTTCGTTTGTCTTTTTATTGTTTTATTACCACCGAGGAGATCTTCAACTTCCGTTTAGGTGGCGATAGCTAAATAATACTCGATCTTCAATCCGAGTTTTTAGCCCTTTACTACTGTTACGAAACTTTGAAAATTCGTAACTTCTTCATACGAGGTCTAAATTGGGCGATCTTTTTATGCACGCTCATCTTTCAATGAGATCTACGACTTTTGTTTAGATACTTTAAGGCTAAAATGTATTTTATTGAGATTTCACTTTTTACATCAAATTATGTTTTAACGTCGTGTCGTAATTATACGAGTGGTTATAATTTCTTCAATATAACTCGGTTTTGAGTGTTCTTTATGTTTTTGGAAACCTGGGCATGATATCTAATATTCGATGCATCCCAACTTAGATATCTGAACACTTTATTTTTGAGGTTAATTTCGTTGTTTTTAGCTTTCGAGTGTTTACAATGCTTTTGGGAAAAATAGGGTTGTCACAGGTACTAGGATATTAATCCCAATCTATCTCATCGATTGTGTGATTGAATCACAAGGTAAAGATAAGAATGAGGATTTTCTAACAAAATTTGTACATATAAAATGTACTACTAATTCCTGTAAGTGTACTCATGTACATGTGATCATGCAAACATATCTATGTAATAGTATGGTAATGTACTATAATCTTCCACGTGTGCTAGATGTAAAGTGTGATCTCTCTCTATCTAGCATGTATAATAATGAACTCGTTCTAGTATCGTTGTATATGTTCTTCTCTAGTATAGTTGTATATGTTCTTCTCTAGTATAGTCGTATATGTTCCTTTCTAGTATTGTTGTATATGTTCTCATAGTAGTAAGTATTGACTCATGAATGAACTGACTCATAGTATGATATTGTGTTCTAGTAATAGTTCTAGTATCTTCCTAAACTACCCCTATGGTAGTTTACTAGTAATCTAACTTGTATGTATGGACATGGATGTATACCCTTGCTACCCAAGGGTATTGATTGAACTGGGAGAACCTTTATGACTACATATGTACACATGATATAGAACTAATATTTAAATGACCTTCGGACGGGTACCCGATATCCCACCAGACCACATCTCAAGTGCGAAAAGGAAATAGGGTGGATGGCCTTCCTAAGTCTTTTAAACATTACTCATATAAATATACATATATAGGCATGCAATTTATAGTATAAAAGCATAAAGTAAGTTTTGTAAAACGTTTGAAAATAATTATTATCT